ATATAAAACATATCATAAATGGTAAATTTAGGAAAAATGGAAAGAAACAAGAGAATAATAAGGAAATTTCAGAAAAAGTATAGAGAAAACTGAGGAGACTATATCAAAAATTGAAGAAATTTTCCATAGTGGAAGAATATAATCCCACTGGGTGTCAGCCAAGAGATGAAACACACATTGAGAAGGGTATTGATAGTTCAGAATATATGAGAAAAAAGAATATCCTAAAAGTTTTCAGAAAACAAGAAAAACTGACTCATTAAAAAGATAAAAAGTATGAATGGCTGAAGACTTCTCTACAGCAACACTGGAAATTCAGTCAGGGAAAAAAATGCCCCCAACATTCTGCATAACATTTATTTTCAATCTTGAAATCAATATCCAGTCAAACTATCAATGAAGTGAGAAGATAGATTAAAGTCGAGGTAGATCTTTGTGGGTCTAGAGAGAAAAATGATTAGAGATTAGGAAGGAGCACCCTGGAAAAGGTGCTCTAAGACAGTGAAGTTGGCAGAATATTTGATGTAGATTAAGTATCTTATCATTTGATTGATCTTCTCAAAGAAGATTTAAACAACCATGGAATAGTTTGGAGCCATTTAGTGGTTACTTAGAAAATTAAGCAAAACTTGGGAAACTAAGTAAGCAAAGAGGGGTAGAGAAGGAGTACAAACAGGAAAAGTAAGATAGACCATATTGCTCAGATGTTCATGGATCTCTACTCTAGACAACATTCTGAACATTGAACTCTGCTTGAAGTAAAATTATCATGTCGCCATAAGTGGGAAGATGATAGGGATATTTAAAGTCTGTGTTCAGTGGTCAAGTCTATGAAAAAAAGCTAAATTCTCATCACCTAACATAGGAGAAATTTAATTATAATGCCTACAACTGAGAAATCAATACATGATGTTATATTGATCTTATGCAAATAAATATCCAAAAAGAACTAGAAGATTTTAAACTGTCTTTGGCAAGCAGAAAATGATTAGCCAGAACTAATATTTTGTACAATTAACCTTGCATTGTTATTTAAATATAAATAGAAACCCTAACATTGTCATGCCACTCTAACCCCAGTGAATTATTTTGTACATAACTGGAGGCTACTGTTTAGCTCATGCTGATTCTTGTATGCATTTTTAGTAACCAATGTTGGAAATGTTCAATATGTCCCTGGAATCTGCAGTCATAGCCACCAGGTGGCAATAGTGAGTTATATCTGGACCTGCAAGATTCCTGTTCTGAAATGTCCCTTGAGCACCACCTATGTGATGATGTCATGGGATTCTGCATTTGATCATGTCCTAGACAAAATTCATCATTCAATCGGAGGAATTTATAAAAGGCATATCCACACAATCTTAGATGTCCTATATCTGTGTGAAATAACAAGCATAGAATTGGGATTAAATAAAAACAATAGGTTATAATTGCTATGTTAAAAACAATATGAAATGTAATTGTGAAGTCTTAGATGTAGGCTTAAAAACACATAAATAAAAAATGTTCTGGAATGTAAAATGGTACAAAGGAAATCACTGACTGGAAACTCAGATACATGGATTCTGGTTTCAGCTCTGCAGTGACCACCTAGGTCATATTTGAGACTCATTTTGGTCTTCTGAACAATGAAGTCTTTGTACCACATTAATTTCTAAATACTTGCCTGCACTAAGAGTCCACAATTCTTTTATACATTGGAAAAACTTTTTTATAACTGTGGGAGATACAGAAAGTATCAAGAAAACCAAAGATATCCTAATCCCATTGTTAATATTGTTAATATTTTGACATATTTCATTTTAGTCTATTCCTGAGCACTATATGTGTATGGATATATATTTATTACAAAAATTACCTCATTCTGTGTATTTAATTTCACATAAGTCTCCCATCATGAAACATTATAAAACAAGCACTTTCCCATTCAGTGTGTCCATTAGCAATGTCCTTCAGTCACCTCAGCGTGGGAGGTTCCCTCTGGCCGTGTCATCCCCAGCTGTCTCCAGCTTCACCCCTCTAGATGCTTTGCTTCTCCTCCCTTCTTTGCATAGGAATCTTTTTTCTCTCCCAAACTCTTACGAGAAAGTACAGCACATACACCCACACCAGATTCCTCCTCCACCTATGGAGAAATGTCATGCTTACTTTGTTGTCCTGATATCTGCAAACACATGCTCTTAGCTTTCTATTCCAAATCCTTTTGGGCCAGGGTCAAACCCCTTGATCTCAGGTTGAAACCACTGTCATAGGCAAAAGACTAATCTGCTGAGGATCCTCCCTTCCCTTGTTTTGGTAGTTTCTGTACTAATATTTGGCTCAATTAATGGCTCACTCAGCCTTTCTTAAGAGCTCTATGTTTCTGCACATTATCCTCCACTACTGTCACTTTGGTCTTCAAACTTTACCCCTTACCTCAGCATCGTCTCTTCAATCAGCACAGCAATCACATGCCTTAAGCAAACAAAACAAAAGAGTAGAGCTGACTGTGAGGGGTTCATGTTGACCAGCTAGATAAAACAAGCGTTGCACCCCATCCCACCTCCCAACATCTGCATTTAACCCTTAATATGTATTATATTAGCATTACAATTTACTGCAGAATTTAAATTTACCTTGAATTTTTAATGCATTTCTAAAATTGTCTGTGATATTTGCATAAATATCACCTAATGTATTTTTTTTAAGTCTATACATAGGAAAAAGTATGGGAAATCCATAAAGGATGAAACATGGCAAACCTATTTTGATTTTTAAATTTTGTATCTACCCATGCATTTTAATCATTATGTTTTATACACACAGATATATATCTATATATGCATATATTTGCAGTTAAGAAAGTTTTAATGTGGCGATGAGAACTTTATATACATTACGTCTTTAAGTTTCCATTCTTATTAATAGGCCATTAATTATCCCATCCCAATATTAATATTCCATTCTAATTAATATCCAAATTATATATCACTTTCTGATATTTGGGTTTTTTTTCTATTTTAAAATAGTTAATATTTGGGACGCCTGGGTGGTTCAGTTGGTTAAGCAGCTGCCTTCGGCTCAGGTCATGATCCCAGCGTCCTGGGATCAAGTCCCACATTGGGCTCCTTGCTTGGCGGGGAGCCTGCATCTCCCTCTGCCTCTGCCTGCCATTCTGTCTGCCTGTGCTTGCTCTCTCTCCCTCTCTCTCTGACAAATAAATTAAAAATCTTAAAAAAAATTAAATTAAAATAGTTAATATTTAAGCCCTAAATTTCAGTTGTCACTTTATACTCCTACAAGCAATTTTAAGTTTATTTTGCTATTTTATTTACATACCATTTGTTTTTCAAGTTTTCAATGGAAACTACTATCATGGAAAATATGAAACATTACCATGTAGGAAATATTAGACAAAAGGAGACATTTATAAATTAATTTATTTTTGATGAAGAGTAGAGAGCCAAGGGGGCTAACTTTTAAATTAATTAGAAAGTAAAAGGCAAATTACAATTCAATGCATCTGACCCTACTATACTAAGTCATTCCCACATCCATGATGACTTTCGGTGAATAGAAAATATTTCTTTTCCATGATTTCTCTACAAGACCTCTCAGTGCATATTGTGGAGGGCACATATTGCATGGAGCACTGGGTGTGGTACATAAGCAATGAATTTTGGAACACTGAAAAAAAAAAACACCTCAGGGCACATGTCACAGGCAGCATCCTATCTCTATGAAATAGGGTGATTCTTCTATTTGTACACTTTTAAAATATATCTGTATTTTTTTTAAGGCTACAATGTGTAGAACAGGTCTGACATAGGCAAGAACTGATACACAGAGACCCATAACGAGGCTATTACAATAACCCAAATCAGAGATGATGTTGATTTATTCCAAAGTGATAGCAGTGGAGATAAACACGAAAGAGTCCAGACATATTTAAGTAAATAAAATTTACATAATTTGGTGGGAAGGAAGAAACTGTTTTCAAGGAGGACAAGCAGTAGAGTATAGTGGCTGAGGGTTTGAATTCTAAAGCAAGACTACATGATTTCAAAATCCAGGTCAGCCATTTCCAGACTCTGTTACCTTGAGCAAGTCACTTAACTTTACTCTGTCTCATGTCTTCATGTGTAAAATGGGATACAGTGCTAATGTGGATTAAATTGTTTATTTAATTTTAATTTAGAACAGTGTTTATTATATATTGAGCACATGATGAGTGTCTGTAATTATAATGATAATGCTATTAGCTTATGTAGATTATCCTGAAGAAGAACTACATTTGAGGGAGGAAATAGTGGGTTTGGTCTTGAACATTTTGGGATTGGAGTTTTATTTAACACATTCAAATTATATTAAACAGTTAATTGGATATATATAGGTCTAAAAGGAGAAATCTGGGCTGAAGACCAGAGTTGGTGGTGTAGTGTATGTATATTCATTAAATCAGTGAAAATGTATGAGATTTCCTAAGGATAAATGTTACAGAGAAAAGAGACTGGTGCCCATGACAAAGCTTCAAGAAATTCCAGTTTTAAGATAAGATAAAGGAAAATAAATTGGCAAGGGAGATAGAGAAACAAGCAGAGGTGTTAGAGAAAAACTTACATATCACAGAAGAGTGAGATATCACAGAAGCCCCAAGAAGAGTTTTCCAGCCGGAACAAGTGGTTAACTCTTTCGGGTACTGTAAAGAGGTCTACAAAACTGAGACTAGAAAGTATGTGTTGGGTTAACTAATACACAGATTATTGATAATCATAGCAAATGCAGTTGGGGTGGAGTGAAGGGACGGAAGTCAGGTTGGAGCGATTAAAGGAACGGAGTCAGTGAGTGTAGACAACTCTTTTGAGTCATTTGGCTGTGAAAATGGTGGTGAGGTTGGGCAGTAGTTTAATTGAGAAGAAAGACTTGTAAAGACTTGAAAATGATTAAATATTGGTGGCTTGGAAACCAAATATCAAGCAAAAGACCACGTGATGTGAAACGTTTTTCTTGTTGAACAGAACTCAGGCGGGGGAACCAAGTATCGAACAGAGAGGGACCACATGATGTGTAAACTTATGTGCTTGTGTATTGCTTACTCTTCTACCATTGGAGGATTGACAACCATCACCGGCACTTCTACCAACTTGATCTTTGCTGAGCATTTCAATATGTAAGTAAAGTTATTGGATTGTTGATTTAATAAATAGCATGTAACTTACAAGGATTATTCTTAACTGATTCAGAGAATTCAGGAATGGAAATTGCTATACTGAGCTAATTCTCCTTTGTTTTTCATCAGGACATCTATAGTTCTAGAGACCTTCCCTTCTACTAAGAGTTAAATATGGAGGAAATAGTGAATTAACAGGTGCCTAAAGGTTCCCTAAGGCAGCTCAGAAGAGATAACTCCTGGCTGACCATTCTAATCAAATGGGGGAAACATTTCTCATTACAAATAATACCGCAAATGATAGTTAACTAAAGTGAATAGGGATTATTTGCATAGGAAAATCTATGTAGGGTTTGGGAACTAGCATTTGAACTTAAAAGATGAGTGGTGCACAAAGTTGCTAATTACAGAAATCTTACCTAGAATTCAGAAAGATTTGAAGGATTGGGCAATTGCAAGAAATGGCAGTAATAAAGTATCCTAAGGACAGATAAATGACTCTAAATATAAGTTTGTAACTGTGATCTTAATCCATTGGAGAACATGGGGAATCTGTGGGTAGAGTCAGATAACTTGGGTTAAAAATTCCACAGTTTTCAGACACTTACTTTGTGAATTCAAATAATAAAAAGTGCATTATTCTCCCAAGATTTTAAAATTTTCCTATCTAAAATAATCATAGTTCAGATTATTATTGTGAGGATTAAATGAAGTAAACTATTTAAGAGAACTCTTGTAAGAACTATTGAAAATATGGTTTGAAAGTCCATGCTTTTACGTGGGGGCTCAAACTGATGGTGCACCTGAGATGTATTTTCAAGTATTAATAAGACAGATCATTGTCAGAGTTCCAGCAAGGTGGGCAGCATTAAGGACTCTCTGGAATAGGATTTACATCTTTTCGCAGAAAAATTAGGGTTCAGAATCAGGAAAACTACATTCTTCAGAGCAGAAAAACAGATTTTATGAACTTTCTTGAAATTATTTGCAAAATGTTATGCATGCATAGCTTTTCCAAGAAATGTCTCACTCAAAAAATGTCACAGTCCATTCTGAAAAGAACAAGAACTGTGTGCAAAGAACAGTGAGTGGTAGAGGGGTTTAGGACAATCTAACACAGACCGCTGCGTTTATTGATTTTTTTCTGTGATTATGCATCCATCCTGAATATTCCAACAGACAATTTAGAAAGGAACCTTAAAAAGGCATCTGGTTTATAAGTGGGAGACTTCTGAAATTCACTGTGTCAGAGAGGATATCTCCAATGTATCTTTTAATTAAAGACAGGAAATGTACCTGACCTCTTTCTAAAGGCTAGACTTCTATCCTTTTTTGTGAATTGCCCAAGAAAAAAGATTCCACATTTCGGTCTTCTTGGTAAATCTTATTCTAAAATTTATACCAAAATTTTATTGTGTTATTTTTAGCTTTAGACAACTTCTGGTTTCTACCATTCCCATGAGATTGATGTTGTTAAAGTAATCCATATTGAGTTTGCCCTCAGTCTGCATTCTTGTACAATGTACCAACCAAATTTTCTTTCTTTTATTTAACTGTTCCCACTTTAGATGCAGTAATCCATTTGCAATGACAGATTGGGAGAACTATAGCACTTTAAGAGAAGTGTTTTAATAACTGTTTTCCCTAATTATCCTTTCTTCTAATTCTCCTAATCATGGGAACTTGGCCAAATATTCTTTAAATTTAGAAAATGTTTAACATGTACTTTGAAATTTGGTGAAGTTTTTTCTTCAAAAGTTTGCTTTAATATTAGGAATTATACACAAACAGAAAGAAACTCAAAGTATCACTTCTTGATAGAAAATACTAGAATAGAGTAGGAAAACAACCTTATGTGAAAAAATATAATTGATGTTATTAAACCAGCCAGATCTTTAACTCACTTTTTCTTAAATATTGGCCCTAAAATACAACATTTCAAAGCAACAATGGAATGAGATACATTCAGTTTTATTGGGAAAAGTGCCAAAAACTTAAAACTGTAGGGGAAAAAAAAGACTTATATTTTTGTCCAGATGTTTGGAGCTGGAGAGAAATTGCTCTTTCTTTTCAAATATTCTACAATAATGCCACCTTTTCCTCTTGACACGCTTGCTGTCTATTCTAAAGCAATATCAACAGCCATTTTATATAATTTCATTTTGGATCTTGCCCAGCTCCATGGGTTCAGGAATCCTAACAATCAATGATATCCCACCATTGACATCTAGAGAAAGGTGCTATCTTACAAACCAACAATGGGAGGAAGAGAATGGATAACACATTTTAAAGCCTTTGTTTACCCATCTATCCACCTATCACTTATAGATATAAAATATATTTATATGTAAATATATATTGTCTTTGTTCTCTTTTTTGCACAAAGAATGTAAGAACAATGAATTATGAGAAAAGCTAAATTTTATTCAGTGCAAAGAAAAACAAACATTTATCCATACACTCAGTCAGTCAACAAACATTTGTTTAAGACTGATGATGTACACGGTACTGTTTTGAATTTTTTTGGAGAATGCAAAAAATAAAACTTGCCAGGAAGCTTTGAGATTCTATCGGGTTTTCTAGATAAAATATATGTATGTGAAAACCATTAAAATTTTAAAAATATAATAACATTTGGTTTTTGACATGTAGGAGAGAAGTAAGGTGATATGTATTGAACTCTTGCCAGAAATTTTACATGTATTTTAGTCCACACATATTCTATATACCCTTGCTGTAAAGGTGGCATATAAAGGTGAATAAAGCATAGGCTCTGGGCTTAAAATGCCTGTGTTGAAATCCCAGCTCTTCCATTTACAAACTGGATGATCTTAGATTACTTTGAGCTTTAAGATTACTTAAGTAATCTAAGATCTTAGATTACTTTAAGCTCTCTTAAAGCTTATTAACTTTGCAAGAAAAATGGAAAAATTAAAGTTTTACCAAAAAATAATAGTACTTTAAAAAATATCTAGTGCAGAGCATATGCTCAGTAAATGTTGATTATTACCATTAGAGTTGAGAAAGTTGATATTCAGCCTAACAGACTGAGATCCAAACCATGGTCATTCAAACCTCAAGTCTGTCTCCCTAAAAAATCACCTCCCTAGAAACATTATTGAGCATGCATCCTAAAAGAAGACCATAGCTGTGTGCAGTACCCCTCGATCACCGGAGAAAACTTATCTGTACAATATGGCCCAATTTAAAAGAGGTAAACACAATATTTATGGAGAAAATGAAGGCAGATAATTCATAAAATCAAAGCACAAAAAGTTTGTAATTTTTTTTTTTAGAATAGTAATGTGCAGATTGATTGGCACCCTAAAAGTCTGGGGACGGGAGACCAATTAGGAGTCTGTTACCAAAGTGCTGACAAATGATAAGGGGAGAACTAAACTAGTTACGAAGTGATAGGATTAGACTCAAGACACTGTACAAGCAGAAAATGGTGAGCAATTAGGTGTGAGGATTTAAGGGCAATGAGGGGTTAGGGCAAGTCTGGGAATTTTTGCCAATATGGTTCAATAACTAGTGATGCCATGAACTTCTAGGTTCATTGGAGAAATTAACAAATTTGATTTTAGGTATATTAGAAAGGCCTGCTAAGACCCTATCCATAAGAGTTCCAGTAGGCATTTGCAAATGCATTGTTGAAGTTAGTGAAAAATTTGAGGGCTATATGTATATATAAACACAGAAATTAGCATCTTGAATGCAGAAATGCTCACATGGGGAGAAAAAAGTTAGAAGAATCAAGACAAGGTTGGACCCTTGGGAAATACTGACAAGAAAGGAGATGAGAAAAGTTTATCAAAGTAGGTGGAGAAACAGGAGCATGGGTATTTTGAAAGCTAAGAAAGACCATTTTCAAAATGGAGGATGAATCAGGAACAAGTGTGGCAGAGGGTCAAGTAGGATGATGGCTAAGAAAAGGCTTGGTTCTTATCAGTGTCCTCCAACAAAACAGTGGGAGGTGGGGCAGAATTTAGACTGGAAAGAGTTAAGATGTAAGTATTAGCAGGGAGGGGAAAGCAGCTAATTTAAATGATTTTTCAAGTTTGACAAAGTAAAGAAGAAAAGAAGAAATATGTTGTGACCAGAGACAGAGTTCTCCTGGAACAAGGAAGATGCCAGGTTTGTTTTACACTCAGGAAGGAAACTGTAAGAGAGATGTGACATTTTGAAAAAGAAAGAAAGAGAAAGAGAGAAGAATATTGATTGGCTGGGTGTCAGGTAGAAGAAGAATGAAATTAGAAACAAGAGTAGAAATATAAGCTTCTACCCGTGGACGCCGCCAAGTAAGCATCGTTAAAGTCTCCCCTCCCACCGCCATCATGTCTAAGTCAGAGTCTCCCAAAGAGCCTGAACAGCTGCGGAAGCTCTTTATCGGAGGTCTGAGCTTTGAAACAACTGATGAGAGTCTGAGGAGCAATTTTGAACAATGGGGAACACTTACGGACTGTGTGGTAATGAGAGACCCAAACACCAAGCGCTCCAGAGGCTTTGGGTTTGTCACATATGCCACTGTGGAGGAGGTGGATGCAGCCATGAATGCAAGGCCACACAAGGTGGATGGAAGAGTTGTGGAACCAAAGAGGGCTGTCTCAAGAGAAGATTCTCAAAGACCTGGTGCCCACTTAACTGTGAAAAAGATTTTTGTTGGTGGCATTAAAGAAGACACTGAAGAACATCATCTAAGAGATTATTTCAAAAAGTATGGGAAAATTGAAGTGATTGACATCATGACTGACCGAGGCAGTGGCAAAAAGAGGGGTTTTGCTTTTGTAACATTTGATGACCATGATTCTGTAGACAAGATTGTCATTCAAAAATACCATACTGTGAATGGCCACAACTGTGAAGTAAGAAAAGTGCTCTCTAAGCAAGAGATGGCTAGTGCTTCATCCAGAAGCATCCTCTTCGACCAAAGAGGTTGAAGTGGTTCTGGAAACTTTGGTGGTGGTCGTGGAGGTGGTTTTGGTGGGAATGACAACTTT